AGGGGAAGGTTTCTGGCAGGGTGCTTTAGGAGCTCTCTGAGGTGCTATGATGCTCTATTCCACTCCCTCTTTCTCTGTAATTATCCAACACAACCCTGCAGCTACCTGAAGTGACAACTCACCAAGGGTTGTGGTGCTGGACAGAGCACAGCCCTGGGTATTGAGAGAGGCCAATCAGGCCTAGACCTGCCATACCCCAGCTGGGTGGCCTTGCTGGTCACTTGTTTTCCCTGACTTACCATATCTACAAAGTAAGGGGATTTAACATGGTGGCCACTAAAGTTACTTCCAGCTGCAGAATACAGTCTACAGGGTGTTGCAGGGTAAAGGACTCACTAGCACCCAAGCAGAAGTCTAAAGTGCCTGCTGATCTCTTGTTGAGGTGAAGAGGAAATAGAGAAAAGTCACAGATCTCAGTAAACCAGTGTGACAGGTGCTTGCTTATGTTTTTGTCTTTTAATTAAAAATAGATTTTTGCTGTACACATTTACACACAAAGGCCTATACTGAACACACAGGGTACTATGGGAAGCACTAATTCCAAAATTCCTTCTAATATGCTACAAACTCATTTCACACTAGTCCCCAAACTCCTTCCAACACATGAAACTCAGAGCTTTCAGAAGAGTATTAGTTATTTTGCCCAATTAGGATTAATCAGGGAACACCACACTGTGTCCCATAACTTCCTGCCTGTCTTGTCCCTGGCTGGGACCCACTTCTAAGGGCTCCCTGGGAAAGGAGCCACTCAAGAGTCAGCAGGGTGGGCTGCAGTCCACACTGTATCGCCTATTAGCAGCACTGGCCTTGGCAAGTCACTGGTAACTGTTTTCTATAAAACAGAGGTAACAGCTGCCCACTTTATTAGACTGTAAGAAGTGAATGAGAAAAGAGAAGGAGAATACTCTGTAAACACAAGTGACAGGGAAGTTACCATCACCACCCCTTTGAAAAAACCCCCTCCGGTTTAGCTGGGAAACTTGCCCTATGCCAGTCCCTGATGACTAGCACCTCCAAATGCTGTCTTCACTTAGTCCAAACTATGAGCTTTCACACTCTGGCTGCCCTGCCTATGAAGCTCTCCTCTTGAACCCAGCTGGATTCCCACCCACCTACTAAGGTTTCTTGACATCCCATCCAGAGGGTTCATTTCTTCTTCTGAACTCTAGGGCTCAGGGCCATTCATCTGGCACTTTATCATGTGGTACTTAGCACTCTTAGTTGACTTTTCAAATTTGTGTGATTAGCCCCCATTTCATGGAGGAGTTCTGTGGCTGGCTGTTTAAAACAAAGGTAAATTCTCCCATACAAATGATGTTTTAAAAAAACCCTGGCTAGGTTAAATGGCCAGTCCACAAACACTGTTTCAATAAACAACATGTACCAGTATGGTCTTCTTAACAAAGGCTTTATGAAAAAACTCACGAGCAGTTCAATGTGGGATTTAAGGCTTAACAAATCTCACGTTAAATATACCTTCTCCACCTAGCTCAGCCTGTTTTGAAATTAATGGTGGAGACACACACACACACACACACACACACACAGATGCGCGCGCGCGCATGCACGCACACACTTACTTTTCTGTTGCTTTCTCAGAGACTGATTGATGGAGTAAGAAGACAGGATATAGAACATCAGGAAACAACAGGCAAGCAAAAACCAGTGATAACTGACTTGGTGGTGTTTGGGGAAGGGCAGAGGTGTTTGGAAAACCTCAACTCTATCTCAGTCAGACACGAGGGCTTAAGTCTGTCAGGAGCAAGGCAGAAAACTGGCCACCATAGTGAGAACTATTCTTCACTGCAGACGCCCATGAAGGGAGGTGGCAGGCAAGGCGAGTGTCTAAAGTTATGAGTTGTGGGCAGAACATCACCACCAAAACACAGGCCTGATACGCCGGGGGCTCCTCTCTCTCCACATGTCAATGCTGCTGCAGGGCAAAACTTCACGCCACAGGTCTCATTTTAGTCTGGCACTGAGATCTAGGCCTAATTACTAAGTGGCCAACACAGCTTCTGTGCTCACACTTTAATCTGCCAATCCGATGCTGAAGTAAAGGATATGTATTTTCAAAGGATTTTTCAAGTGAGACCTTTACGGAGAGCTATAGACCATAGTGATTTCAGGATAACAAATAAGAAAAGAATAGTTTTGTTTCTAACTAATTCAATCCTAACTAGCAGAAGCTTCCTGGCCCAGCCCGCAGTCTTCTTACTGCTCTATGAAGCCAAGAGGGAGCAGACACTTCTGGAGACAGATCGTGACCAGGCCAGGACCAGGGATGTCTGCCTTGTGATGTTCCCGAGTTAGTTCAAAATCAAGTTCCTTAACAACACAAATGCCTACATAAAACTTGCTCATATTTAACTCAAATATTGAGCCAAAATCTAGGGTGGGGTGAGGGTGGAATTGTTTGGGTCATTAAACTATGTTTCTTTGAACTTCACTCAGAAAACACACATGCACACATACACAATTTCCTCCTCTGTAAAGGAACTGGCTCTAAGAATCTATTAATAAAGTAAATTAAATCACCTAGACCCTCAAACATTTATCTGCTGCCTACTGCCAAGCTGGTAGTTAAGTGCTGGGGCTAAAATGCTGCCTGACAAAGACTGGGCTTCAGAGAGTACAAATGTTTATATTACCCAGGGTTTTGGACCACTGATACAGAAAGCCCAGCTACTGCTATCTGATAACAAACTTAGCTGGGGACATTCATTTACTCAGGCCTGGGAGCTCTAACCACCTCATTAGCTCTGGAATCTCAATGTGCAAGGAACCTTTGGGGCAAGCTCTCATGGAGGTCTCATAAAGGGAGGATCTTTAACTTGAGGCCTTGGCAACCTCCCCAGCCAAAGGCAGTGTGTGGTGTGTTTTCTTTACAGGAAGTTTCATGAAGCAAACAGATCACAGGCCAGAGAGACTTAAAATATCCAGTCTAGATGAACAAGAGCTTTAGAGCACACAAGCTCTGGCACCTTTATTTTTGGAATAAGAAAATTAGACTGGCCAACCTGTATAATCCAGGTTGGCTGTGAAGAATGGGTAATATAAATGAAGGCAGTTGGGGCTTTACAAAGTTCTGTAAAACTACTGACACCAACTGCCTAAGAGGCTGGAGATGGTAACCACTGTACCATCTTCTTCATCCTTACTCTCCTGGGTCTCTGGGTTGCCAGGAAAAAACTCATTGCTAGCAAATGAAGAGGAGTGGGAGATAACCACACACATCTACGAATTATGCTTTACTGCTTGTTTTCTTCTCCCTACTTATAGTTTTGATGTCCTGTGCAATATAAATGGCAATAGGCCTGATCCCATTTATTATGTGGACATTATCAAGGACACAATCTTCTTGGTATGAAATAATTATGGCTTTTTGAAGGCAAATAATTTACTCCCTACAGTCTAGAAAATTGGACCCTACTGGAACAAAAATAAATGTTCAAACTAATTCCTACCCATGTGACCCTTAAGGATTTTTTTTTAGCAACTTTCAAAACATCATTCCCCACCTCCACACAAAAAATAAATAAATAATCATATTAAGTTAAACACTAAGAAACAAAAAAGGTTGAGAGGTAAACAAAGAAAGTCTGGCTATAAAAATTGTATTTAAAGCTGCATATCACAATGATTCTAGTCTAGGCTCTCAAAAAGACTCACTTCAGAAAAACAAATCAAAATGCAATAAATGGCCTGTTCAAACTCCCCATGTAGGCCCACTCCCTCACCCCCACACCACAAACCAACTGCCTTCTTATGGCCATCATGGTTTTGAGCAGGGACCTCCTTTATTTATCTAGTTTGTCTCGTGTGACCCACAAACCCTCACAGAAAATGAAGCCACAAGACCAACATGCTCAGGGAACAAAGACCATGGATGAAACTCACTACAGAGAAGACAGGGCTTCACTATCTTCTGGAGATCCCTGTTCCTGAACAGAAGGGCAGGGAAAAGAATACTCTTCTACCTCCATTTTTACCCAAGCTCAAAGAGGCAGTTCTGTCTGTGGGCTGATAAAATAGGACAAGGCACAACTTTAGACTCTTGCCTGCGGTCAGAGGTGTGGGGCTGGTCTGCATACAAGCCCACTGTGGCTGGCAAGCTAGAGGGTGGAGATCAAGTTAAAAATAAGGCTTTCTAGCAGCCCTGCCAACCGCCAGCATCATATTTTCCTGGTGATGTCAGTGCAGATGTGGTCTCCATCCCTGGGTGTTGGCTTCTGGCTCAGTCCCACCTCCACCTATTGCACTACATGTGCTCTAGGAGGACATAGCAACCATTTTCAAACCAAGGCGAGACAAAACCTGTTGGATCAGTCACAGTGACTTGTTTAAGCTTCTTTAGTTTAAGGTGCATAAATAAAAGTCACATCAGAAAGGGCTGAGGCAGCTTTGGGAAACAGATTGAGGATACAATTTTGACTGCAGGCTGACAGCTTTCCTGCCTGAAAAGGCCAGGTGAATTCATCAGAAGCTCTGTTCCCAGATGACAAAACTCCAGCCTCTCCCACCACCCCCAAAATAAAAAGCATTCAGGGAAGAAAAGTCAGAGACCACTGAATTCGATGCTTGCCAGCTTAAGACGGCAGCTCAGATTTTCCAGACAATCAGAAAGACACAAATTCAGAAAACATTCCATCATCTCATGTGGGACACAGGTTCACCTTTAAGCCAGCGCCCAAGCCTGGCCCTTCAAATTCCAGCACCATGTCCTGTTTAACAGGGACCCCGGCCAAGTTCTTCCTGACCAAAGGTAGTAACCTTGCAAATTACCAGAAAGAAGCGGCTTTATTACAGCTCAAGAACATCACCCAGGCTCGGAATGTGACACTGATGCTTTCCCTGAAGCCCTCAACTCCCTTCTCAAGACTCTCCTCAAAACTATCAACCATTAATTGCAGAATTCCACAGGAGACAGGTCCACACTTGATTTTTCAAAAACATTTTCCCACTGACAATGCACGGCACTTCTTCACATCGTAACTCACCAGCCTCTCTCCAGATAGGACCTCCAGCAGCTTGATGAGCATCCGTCCATCTCGAAGGTCTGTGTACAGGTCTGTGATCCGGCAAGACACTCGGGCAAGGTGGGAATTGACCCACTTGGTGAAGGTCTTCTTCTGCACGGCTTCACGCTCATCTGCAAGCAGAACAGAACTTGTTTTACCACTGACCACAGCACTGGAAGGAGCAGGCACATGCCAGCAGGGCCACGAGATCCCAGCTAGAGGAAGATCAGTCTGCAAAACTGAACTCCAAGGACACCTACACTTAGCGCCCCTTAACTGCAGTCACGTCTTTGAGAAGGAAGAACACTGATTACTGATGGTTCAACTTACAACTTTTTTACCGTACGATGAGTTTATTGGGATATAACCTCATAAATCAGGGAGTATCTGTGTAGGAACTGTCCAATCCTTAAACATGTGAGTGCCCAGGTACACCTGCCAGCAGAACATCCTTTGCTCCCCTTTCTTTTCTATCATCCCTGCTGGAGAGGCAGCAGGATGCAGATGATACCAGGGTCCTTTGCAGTCCTACCAACACCATAATACTTCACTAGTAAAGCTTCCAACGTACATCTTACAGCTATTATTCCCCCAAAAGGTAAGTATATGAAAGGGTATATACGGTAAGAAATCTCAGGCGACAGCAGAAAACTGCTTCCCTCACCTACAAAGGATTGGGCAACGCTGGACAAGATAAATTCACTCATGACCTTGATTTGCAATGACCCCCTTCACCTGCTAAGTCACACACCATGAACAACAAAGAAAATGGCAGGCAGGCCAGGCGCAGTGGCTCACTCCTATATTCCCAGCACTTTGGGAGGCTGAGGTGGGTGGATCACCTAAGGTCAAGAGTTTGAGACCAGCCTGACCAACATGGAAACCCTGTCTCTACTAAAAATGCAAAATTAGCCAAGCGTGGTGGTACATGCCTGTAGTCCCAGCTACTCGGGAGGCTGAGGCAGGAGAATCACTTGAACCTGGGAAGTGGAGGTTGCAGTAAGCTGAGATCGCATCATTGCACTCCTGCCTGGGCGACAAGAGTGAAACTCTGTCTCAAAAAAAAGAAAAGAAAAGAAAGAAAAGATGGTAGAGTGCAAAGACATAGTAGGCATCAGGAAGTCTTTGCATGCATAGGGAAAGCAGGGTCTGGGCCCAGGGTTTTAACAAAAATGTGCTTCATCACAGGATTCAATGTTCTCTTCTATAAAAGGAGAAGACAACTATCATCTCCATACTGCAATCATTTGCTGAAAGGACAACTGCTGATTTATGGTCTAAAGCATGATTGTTGTAAATTCAAGTCATCCAGAAAACAGTGTTAGGTTTTTCAAGGCTCGGTAATCAAATTCTGTCCAATTTAAAGTATAAAACTCCAGACATATTTGCCCAGAACTGTCCTTCACATACCATACAAATAGGCTTCCAAACTTCTTGCCTCTGCAGAATGTTCTAAACATAGGTTGCAGAAGACCTTTAACAGACATCCACAGAATGCGCCCTGGACCCACACACTCATACTCCCTGACTCTGTTCTCTCTGTTACACACCCTATATCTAGTTCCACCAGCATGAATTTATGCCAAGAATCTAAGACCTACTCCTACTGCAAACCCAAACCACAAAAATGATTATGCATGAATCTACAAAAAAGAAGCAGATAGCGTAACAATTTGGCATGTATTTCAAAACCACTGAGTGGGGGTGTCAACTAAAAAGCCACCCTTGCTAATAAGTCATGTGCCTGGTGGCCAGAGAATACTGGATTCCCAGGCTGGCCAGAAGGACAGCAAACAGCCCAACATCCTGGGAAGGTCTGTCTGAAGGCTTTGCTGAGCCTCTACAACCCCACCACAGGGAGGGACTGAGGCGGAGATGACAGTGGGTGAGGTTTTTACAGCTGCTGACCTGGCAGGAGTCAGCTGGGGGATCTGCCAAGATCCCCGGCCACCTGCTACAGTCTGCGGCTCCTCGATGTCCAGCCTCTCCCAAAAGGAACTACCCATCCAGACAGAAGGAGGGCCCTTCCCCAGGGACAACGCTAACCAGAAACACAGAATCTAAAAGGACAGGATTAGGGGAAGGAGTAAAAGACAGTGAGGGGCAGGCTGCAGACCGGAGAAGGAGTTGCACCAATAACATCAAGACAGGTCCCACAGAAAAGACCACATGCATTATTGATCATGAAGTCATTGTGATGGATGGCAACTTTACTACAGTGACCTGGGAGCTGTAATTCTAGGGCTAAGCTTGGCCGTTTTGAAAAAGCAGGTCTAGAGCAGAACATGTAAGGTGCATTTCACAGATGGCCTCTTATCGAGGAGGCAATTAACTCCTAGTTCATACGTATTTAGGAATAACAAAATTTCTTTTAATTAAAATATCCTTTATGCCTTATAGTGGAGTCAGACAATGTCTTTAATGAAGCAAGTGCGCAAGATCAAAATGAAGAGCTGCTTGAATTAAAATATTTCTAAATAAACAAGTATAAAATGTGTTCCTCAGCCAACTGTCATGCTTTTGGACGAATCCCTCATTAAAGGGGCGCCCCAACTTCTTTCAGGTGTTGAATTAACAGGTTCCTTTACAAGGAAACTGAGGATTTGCCAGAAACAACAGTCAAAATACTTCCTTAGTGCCCTGTCCTAAAGAGTTACAGCCCAACTCCAACGCTCCACCCCATAGAGAGACAAATGGAGAGGTCATGGGTGGGTACAGAGAGAACAGAGCTGAAACCAAATAGACTTTGAGATCTGTGCAGGGAGAGCTCCCCAGGGCCACCATGGTCCTTAGAAACTAAAGGAAGATGGGAAGAAAGAGGAGGAAGAGACATCAAAAATAAAAAAAAATAAGCTCTTGCATTCCTGCCTTCTCTTCCTATTCCTCTCCCTCTTAACTCTCCTCACAGAGCCAGGAGCAGGCCCCAGGAACTGCAAGAGTGTTGGAAACATCACACAGGATGTAAGTTCCTCTGGCTCACACCCCTATACTGGAAAAGACACAGAAGATTCCATCCAGAAGATTCTGGACCAGACCAGAATCAACACCCTCATGACACACAAGGGGCAGGAAACAAACTCAACAGAGATACACAAAGCCCCAGCCAACTAGAGTGTCCTCTTACAATGGAGAGCCTGCTGAATAACAAACGCTTCTGAAGCCGGAAGGAGGGAGACAGAGGGGGAAAGAAATCCACCCGGTAGCTCACCAGAGGATGAAGCTGCATGTCCTTGGGGACTCCCTCCTTTGTTCCACCCTTCCTGGGAAGGGACAATGACATCACCCCTGCACTCCCCACCCAGCAAAGCTGGGGAAGATAGGCCAGGCGCCTGAGGAGGAGCAGGAGGCCCCTGGCATTGACGATGAAAGGCAATCCAGGAGTGTTTCCAAGCTCAAGCTGCTGTGACTGGGCCTAGCCACATGAGGAGGTGTCGGGACAGCAGAAGGCAGTGAGCCGACTTCCAGCCCTATGAGCATGAGGCAACCGTGGTGATACGAGAAGGTAGCACTTACAAGCTCCATACTGGTTTGGTTATTTAGACCCAAGGTTCTCCAGCAGGGGCAATTTTGCTTCCTCGGCACATTTAGCAATTTGGCAATGTCTACAGGCATTTTTGATGGTCATGACTCAGTGGTAGATGCTACTGGCATTTAGAGGGTAGAGGCCCAGGATGCTGCTAAACATCCTACATTACACAGGATAGCTCCCACAACAAAGAATTATCTGGCCCAAAATGACAGTAGTGCCAGGTTGAGAAAACTTGGTTCAAGCATTCCGGGCTGACACCAATTGGAGCCGGCACTTGTCTCAAAGACACTCTCCAGAGAGCACTTCCCAAATTGGGTTGCTATTCTTTCATCATCCTCTTTGATGAGCTGCAGGTCAGCTCAAAGGCAGCAGAAATGCCCTGCCTTCAGGCCCAGTCATGCCACAAAGGGCACGCCCTTTGCAGGGCAGAGGAGCAGCAGGGAGCCAAGGCGGACCAGGTCTGGGGTGATGTGAGGTGGGTACTTCTGTGCCTCACACCATCTCTGTTCTCCTTTTACCTTTTCTGGGCCTTGTATTACTGTTATGAAGTCCTCCCCAAGAAGCTGATGCAGCTAAACCTGATGTTAGCTTGGGTAGGTTCCCATACAGCTCTGCCCAAAACTTGGTAAGTGGTGTCTCCAAGGAACAAGCACCTCTGTACCCCTGCCCCTTGGGGCATCTCTCAGTTGTATTTTCCCCCTACCCTCCCACATTTTACTGAGATTACATATTGTAAGGATTCATCTAAAGACTGCCCAGCACCAAACAAGAGGAGGTAAAGTGCACATTAAGGCGTTCAATGTTGTAACTGCTCTAAATTAGTTCCCTCTCACTTTCTCCAGCAAAGAAACAGTCTCACTAATTCAAATCATTTAAGAAATTGGCCAGGTGCAGTGGCTTACGCCTGTAATCTCAGCACTTTGCGAGGCCAAAACAGGTGGCTCTCCTGAGGTCAGGAGTTCCAGACCTGACTGACCAACATGGTGAAACCCCGTTTCTACTAAAAATACAAAAGTAGCCAGGTGTGGTGGCATACACCTGTAATTCCAGCTACTTGTGAGGCGGGATTACATTGTGAGGCTTGAACTCAGGAGAAAGAAGTTGCAGTGAACCCAGATTGCGCCATTGCACTCGAGCCTAGGCAACAAGAGCAAAACCTTGTCTCAAAACAAAAAAAAGAACAACAACAACAACAAAACTTACCAGAGGGTCATGGAATTGTATAATCTCAGGACTGAACAAACCTTTATACATTATCTAAATCAGTTTTCTTTCAAAGAATTCCTTCTTCAACACCTGGCCCAGCTATTTAAAAATCCCAGAACATGAGGAAATTATGTGCACATGTGTGTGGCAGAAAGTTACTTAATAGTTGCATGGAAAGAAAATGACTTGTTCTTTCTAATTAAAATATAGTTATAGCATTCACTGAGCACTTACTATGTCTGAGGCACAGTCGTTCTTCAGTATCTATGGGGAATTTGTTCCAGGCCCTCCCTCAGAAACCAAACTCCTTATGATCAAGTCCCTCATATAACATGGTATAGTATTTGCCTATAAGTGACATACATCTTCCTGTATACTTTAGATGATCTCTGGTTT